AGCGCGTCCACCATAGACTTTGCATGTGAACCTGATGCTCCTGATGCTGAAATCGCGTTTGGTGTGAACGCACCATTACATTACAGTTTTCTGACGTTTCCAGTCAAATATACATAAAAGAGCAACTACGATTTCAATAAAATCCCTGCAGTTTTTCTCAGGGATCACCTTGTTAGTTACCATTTTATGAGAATCTCTGTTTTGTGGTTTACATCTTAAATTACCTGATTACCGTTGAGAACTTTCATCTACCAAATCATGTAAAAAGTACCGGTAAGTAATTTTATCTTCCTAAAGAAAATCCAAACAAGATAATGGCAAAACAAAGTCCAGCCTTAAAGCAGGTGTGCTTACCGTGACTTCAGGAAACGTGTTCTTTATTAGGTTAAACATCTTCCTGTGAGACTGCAGGTCCCCTAAAGTCAGAAGCTCTTTGGCTCCCTCCTTTGTCTCACCCTTTGACTTCTTCTCGAGAGTGTCATCCTCATGCACTTTCTTCACCTGAACAAGGAAGAGAAAAAATGCACATTTTACCTGCTTGTAGTTTAAATCCTGTTTATGACTTGTGGCCTGACTGAAAAATAACACTCCAACCGTCCAGCTCACTAAACCATTTCACACCACTGTGACTTTCCACCAACAAAAAGAATCCACGAGGTAATGTTGGCTGTGTCCAAATGCAGGGGCTGCATCCTTTAAAGGCTGATTACTGTGTAGACCATGTAGGCCACGTCTTTCAAAAGACACATACATACATTACTTTGTTTATGGTCTGGATAAGAGAAAGCTGTTGGTCTTAAGCAACACGTTAAAACCATTAAGGCTGTCGACTATGTCTGAGAAGATGAAGTAATAAATAAACAATACACAGAAATAAATAACATTTTTATGACAGCATTGTTACTACAATAATAGTTTTCAAATTGAGAACTTGTGAACTTTTATTTTTATTTTTTTTTACCTCTGTCCCTCCCAGTTCTGCTGCCTTCACAGAGACGGCCAGTAGGTCCCTCAGATCCACCTTCTTCTTCTGCCTACAGACAGAAAAGAAGAGGATAAAGACAACGCCCGATGGAAACACAAACAGTTTAAACAGTAAATGTAGAAACGGATTGTATGTCTGTAAAAAAAACACTTAATGTGTAAGGTTAGCCTCACACAAAGCTTTAAGGTTTTCTCAAAGACTACTGAAACRGACATAACAGTTTATAAAAACATCAAACCTCTACTCTAGTAAAAACAGATTCATTTAAACAACCAGCACAGTAATATAATGAGTACATTTCTGACTCGATACATCCTGAGTCTCATCCTTTAACATTATACAACAAAAAAACAAGTCCAAGTCTGTCACATCCCAAGTATTTACTGAGGTTTTGAAGTCTAGAGCAGTGGTTCCCAAACTTTTTGTCTTCTGACCCACAAAATATCCACAGCAAAAACTTGTGACCCCAAATATTACTGGTC